ACCCAGGTCCTCACACTTGTCTGGTGAACACTTTAGCCAAGAACCGTAGCTGTAGCTTCAACATCTTTTCCTACGATGGTTAATAAGTATGGTATAATTGCCAAGCTTCAGCTCCACAGCACGGTCCCTCCTGGTTGGACATCATATATAACCAGATCATTCCTGCTAAACAGGGTGGAAACTCATCTGACATCAGGGGATTCATTTTGAATTAAAGTAGATTCTCTGCTCTTGTTCCATTGAAAACTGAGAACTAATTAGTCTGTAATCCTTAAAAAAAAAAAAGGATTCCTAGGAGACAGGGCCATTGGCTTTCCTCCTCCTGTACTTTCTTTCAACATGAACACCTGATGTCTTGTTCAGTTTACAAATCCAACTCTCTATGGGTTAGGAATAGAAGACCCACAACTTCAAAAAGAAGTAGCTGAGGTCTTGGTGGATAGTGTGTGATCACTCAGGCTGTGACCAGGGGAAGCATGGGCTTCCTTAGGTGGCAGGGGTCATAACATATCTCTAGACCCAGGCCAGTTACCTACTTGGCTAATTGTGATGCTTCACGAAATGAAGCCCATTTTTGAGGAGGTCTCTTGTATTCTGAAGGAACTTAATGCAGTTGTTAAGAAGTGTCTGAAATGTTTGCAATTGATGCTCCTTTGAGAGGAGCCTGCACCTCTATGGGCACTACCCCTTTACCTTGGGATTTCACTCACAGGTTCTGAGCAGCCCTTAGGAAAAGTTTAGTTTGAGTCTCTGTCTGCTGGAGACATAGCTGAAGTTCCTCACAGCCACCCTCTTCTGTGTACCCTGAGCTACTGGACATCCTTCCTCACCATGGACTGAGAGCACCGAGGGACCCATCCAGGTGCCCCTTTTCTTTCAAACTGATCACATTATGCACCTACATTCAGATCTGTGGCTGATACTCACCAAGCCTAAGCATCCCCACTCCATCCCAAACCATTGCTCAGTAACCAGGGCCTCTGATTAATGGTCAGGTATACGTTCGTGGCAGGCATGAAGCAAGCCACCGAACAGAGATACATCACAGAACACATGGCCATGGGCTCAGGCTCAGTTATCGCATGCATCTAGGTTTAACTATCAGAAGAGTGGCTGGCTTGGAGGTGACCCTTCTGTCACCTTCTGTCCTGAACACTCTATTCTTAAACCATCCCTTAAATTCACTAGAAGCCCATTTCGTGAGAAATGATTTCTAAATTAATGTGTATTTTCTGTATATTGCAAGGTGTTCTCAGTTACGCAGAAGATATACAGCAACTATTGTGTCTAGGAAAACAAAGTAAAACAAAAAACTGTGTGCAGCAAACAGAGAGGCGCCTGTGCTGGGAATGCTAAGGACAGGGCACATTTACTTCAGTATTTTCTAGAAAGGCTTCGGCATCCCTGAACAAACCTGCTGAGTGGGTCACTAAAGCCATGTCTGCACCTGAAGCTACTGAGCAAAACTGAAGATGGAAATAGTGATCAGTTAATGACTCGTCTCCACAGTGGTTTCTTCTGTGGAATTACAATTAAAGACTTCATTGGATCACTTTAAATGTTAGACTGAAGTGGCTCACAATGTTTTTGAAATAACCAAAGGACACCATATTTATAAGCATGGAAGTTTTGAACATTCTCATCTTCTGTTTTATACCTTTTTATCAGTTGCCCTGGCTTCATAGTAAGGTCTCAGAGATGGAACTTCAATATGAATATTAAAAATTGTTAGTAGTCACTATGATTTTCATTTCCCATTTTTGGTCTCAGGTAATTTCTTGGGTACCTTCCCTTGATTGACAAACCATGACTCCTTGCACTTGTATAGACTATATTTAGCTTGCAGAATATACTATCCCCTCATTAAAGTCTCCTAGTTGCTGAACTTCATTAAGACAAACGGATTCATCTGTATTTTCACTCCCTTTGGCTATGAGGTCAATAAAACGATGTCAGGCAGGAGAGGCTAAGGATGCTCAACACTCTGAGATGCTCCTAAACAAGCTCAGGCAGGAGCCAGCTGCCATGGTCCTGCAAGACACATTATGCTCTCAGCTTTAATAGACATTAGCGTCTTGCACAGTTGCAGTGTGCTTAATAGCCTCGGCTGTTCAAGACTCGAATTCTGCAACCATTATCGCTGGCATGGGACCCTGTATTCAGAGAACCTGGGATACAGTGGAAAGACAACAGAACAACGAGAGATGAATGAAACGCTGAGCCTTCACAAGTAGGCAAGGATGGCAACCAAGAAAGAAGAAGAAGCCAGAGTATAGCCAACCTTTTTTCTTTTAATTAGAGTATATTATACTTCCAAACTCGATACACTAGAAATTGGCAATGCAACGTAAGATGCAGAGGAAAATACCAGTTACTGTCAAAATGACCCTGTACAGCCTTGTAATGCAAAAGCTTTTTACAATACAAATTTTCAGTAATGTACACAAACCTTGACAGTATGATCATCTGAACATAATATGAGGAGTTAAAAAAAACGAAAGAAAAGAAAGGATAGGAGAGAGAAGGTGCTCAGAACCCTACCTGCATCACTAAATGGAAAACCAAGCCAGCTCTCCTGGGAGAACGCACAGTAAGAACCCAAAGTTGCCTAGGAGACTTTCTCAAAGGTGTTAGTGTTTTCAGGGGAAGGAGATCTACAGAATGGATCCTTCCCCAAACATCAAACTGCAAACCAGATTAGGGGAACATTTTACCTAGGTGGATTCTGAAAAATGCTGTAGATTTTCTTCTTTATTAATAACAACAATAATAATATAAAAAGTCAAACAAACTGCAAACACACGTTTTCTCACTCAGAAAACTTTTTATAATTTACCAGAAAGATTGATGACTCTTTCCAAAGTGCTAAAAAAGTTGCCCAATTACATTAAGCATTACTAAGTCATTCAAATACAGGTTCAGTGGCAAGCAGTGAAATGCATGGCATTTGAGCAGGAACCGTCTCCGTCCCTCCCCCCTTGCACTCTCTCACGTTCCCACCCGAAGACCTCTTATTGCACAAGTGACATGCTGTAAAACCCAGGGTCCTCGTGATCAGGGACACCCACTCAGGTTCTTAACCTGCTGGTGCTTCTGTGAGTCACCTTTCTGCCAACCTCTGGGGTAGGGGTGGGGGGCGTCACTGTGCTCCCATCTCCCTTATCACTGAACCTGCAGTTTTAAACACATTATTAGCCAAGTGGCACATTCTCCATTAAATGGGGATAAAGACATGACTTTAAAACAAAAACAAAAGCAAATAAAAAACAACAAACCCACCCATAAACCCAGTGACCTTGGGGCATACTGTCCAGAGTGTCTATAGTGTCTTCTACTGAGATATTGACGTGGTGAGTGGAACAATGGGTTAAACATGGCCCAGAGCAAGGTCTCTGCTGGAGAATGACTGAGGCTTTGGGGCCTTTCTGGCCTAGCTGGTTGGTCTCCCTGCTTTGTGGACATCTCTGTAGTGTAAACTTGTTGGCCAGGGTCCTAACCAGGCTCCTCACCTATGGCTGGATGGCAGGTGGGGGAGGGAAGCAGAGACCTGCTGGGTTTGGAGAGGGAGGCTGAGAGGGGATAGGGAGCCGATGCCGTGGTCTGTTCAGTCTCTGGCTTCCTGTCCAACTGCATTCACTTCAGGGCAGCAGTCCCAACTAGAGGAAGAACATCAGGGATGCTTTTATTTCCCCTAGTTAAAGTAACAAAAAGGAAAGTGGGTATTATCAAGGATAATACAGTGTGGGAAAACAGCATTCCTTCTAGACACCAGTTCTTCCGCTGACAAATAATATAGAAACTTTCATATACCAAACTTCCCATTTTTATACAAAGTATATTCCTTCCCGCTCTTTCAGCCTGTTGCATACTGGAAATTCTGCTATTTTACAAATTCAAGCAGTGAACATATTCAGCCAAAGATTTTCTTTTCCTTTTTAAACCATCCATGACTTTTTAAAGATGAGCAAAGGGCTACACAACTGAATCATACCTTCTCTTGCCGCAATAAAGTGCTGCACAGAAACTGCCATTTTAATGACCATAAAATAAGAGCTTTAAATAAGTATAAAGTCAGCTCCTAGCAGGTTACATCTGCTAGGCGTTAACAAAATGGAATACGGGGTTACTAATACATGGAGAGTACACTCTAGCCAGAGGCTCTGCACACAGCGGGCATCCTGGGGCATCATCTGAGGCACAGGACTAAGCAGCACCTTTTTGTTCTGTCTTTCCTTGTACGTCAAAGAGGTCGCAGCTAACATGTCAAACATACAGTCTACTCATTCCATAAAAAAGGTATATTTCCTTCCTTTTTTTTTTTAACTTATTCCTTTTCCCTCAATGAGAAACAAACTAGTGCAAGGCCAGCGCACTGTGCAAAGCTGCCGTTTCTTTTTAGTCTGAGCATTTACACCCAGAATCAATCCGAACCCCTTTAATCTCCTTGGCTGGATTTATCAACCATAAACATTTCCACTCATACAATTTTTTTCCTACAAACAATGATAACAACTGAATCAATATATCACACACACACATATGTTCTGCTCTTTAAAAAGGATGTACGTGTGTATGTGTGTGTGTGTGTGTATGTGTGTGTGTGTGTATGTGTGCATGCTCCATGTGGGCACACACACAGAACACCAGGTTTTGTGATGTCAGCTGTGAACTTGGAGGCGTTTCTTGAGAGATCTGTCACCTGACTCTATCCATCTTCCTAAGTGGAGATCTCAGCTCCAGGCTTTGAGCACTCACTCTATTGGAACTACCTTGGCACCCTGCAGATCTTCATCCACTGAGCACTAGGCCCTAGCACTCTGCAGCCATAAAATAGAGAAGGAAAGGCAGTGGAGGAAGTGGGGAGAAAGTAGTGGACGAACAATCCAGATGGAAAGTCAAGACCGTCCATCACCGTCAAAGAGGCCAGTATAAAAAGGATGTGCAATAGAAATGTCATGGCACACACACACACACACACACACAC